TATTGTCTGGGTACAATGACAGGATGACTGCATCATTGATGGCTAGTGCTGCCCCCCCCCCTCCCCAGGGCTCCCATTCATAACTCACTCACCATATTTCAAGGCTCCTGGGTTAAGGTGGAAGTTAAATCAGGCTCTCCGCCTGTCTCATAGTCACACTTGTCAAGTGACCCTGGGTTCAGTGGCTGCAACAACATTTTTTTCATGGGTTTAGGTGGATTGCTACACTCTGACAATCAACAGTTTAGTACCGGTAGCCACTAAATGCTTACATGCACTGCAGAGCGACACAAAAATCCAATAAACTGAGGAGAAGCTAGAGTAATATGTGGCTACGGTTAGATGTATTTGCATTTTTTAGACAGCTAAAGTCACCTCGAGTGGTGTGTGAGCAACTGTGGTCAGGTTGCAAATCTTTAATTAGCTTGAATAAAATATTAGTTTTCAAGAGCTGACAATTGTAGTGTTCACTAAATAATCTTACAACATGCACTCTTTATTTAAAGTGCATGGCAAGAAAGATGATGTGCAATAAAAAAAGAAAAAGCATTTGTAAGAGAACGTCAATTGGTCTGGGTCACTTGTTAAATTCCTACAATTTACAACAACACCTTTTTTTTTTTTTTTAAATCCCATATTTAGTCCCATATTCAGCGATTTATAGACCACACCATTTTGGGAAAGCAATTAAAGTCCATTTTTAAAAAGGATCCTGCAAACCAGAATCACCAGGCTGACTCAGAGTGTGAGGTGCATCACAGCTGGAGTGTCTCCTCTGACTCATAATAATGCAAATAAATAGCAAATAAATACACAACTATGTATAGCTACTAGCTAGAAACAGCTCTTCCAGGCTCCATTGGTAAAAAAGCATTTACAAAAGTAGGATTTTTAGATTATGGTTACAGAGAACAAACACAAAAAACAACAACTTTGTTAGATTGTTGCATTTATTTCCCACTGCTCCTTTTATATAATTAGCTCATTTCTGAAACTAATAGAATTGTTACTTTGAGAATTTTCAGATTGATCTATTATTATCATTATTATTATTACTATTATTATTATTATTGATAGTTTGTGTCGCGCACACTGTTAACTATAGGTGTAGGTGCTGGTTTATATTCAACACAGTAGATTTTGCCAGCCCAAAGCAGCAAAGTAGCTGCTTTTCTGAATTTTTGCTCATTTTGGCCATGGAAAAGTATTTTATTTTCAGTTTGAAAAAATGTAAAGAAACCCATCAATCGTTTCCTTCAGGCTGCATCCGGATTCATATCTTGACATGTTTCCCTCCCCATCCTCTCTCTGTCCTCTTAGACACCTGAATCCGCAGGTCTCAATGTGTTTCACCAACTAGTCATCACTAGCACACTTTAACATCAATATACTGAATCCAGTGCTCACCTTCCCCATGTCCCAGAGCCTGGTGGGGTCCAGCCCTTTGATACATGCAGATCAGATGATTTACAGCCCGTGAGCCTCAGCCAGGCCTGTCTGAGAGTTTTGATGTGCCAGATTTTAATACAGAGCTCCTTCATACCTCCCGAGGCAGACAACACATATCACTACTTCATGTGAAGATGTCTCATTTGCCAGCTAATGCATCTAATTCCAATCACTTTTTTTCCCAGTAAAATGGTTCCTATGAACTATTATCCCAAATGGAAATTTCTCACTTTAAAAGGCAGAAATGCTTCACTTGCTAAGTAAGAAGCAGGGGGAGGGGGGAGTGTGCAGCAGAGTGTGCTGTAATGACATTTTGGTAGAAATGTATAAATGTTATTAGAAAACACTTTTTGTGGTATGTGGCAGATTAGTTCTGTAAAAACGTGGGATATATTAGAAAAAAAAGCGAGACTCAGTATTGATTCTTTTGGAAATGACAGATGATTGACTGCAACGCAGCAAAGGCTGAAATATGAATAAGCGATTTTTTTCTGTGGACATTTGTCTCAGACGCAGCTCCTCTGTGGCATTTAAACCTTACTTCTCCTCAAACAAATCAATAATTACTTTAAATCCACGGGTTTTCTATATGTTTTTTTTAGTCATTCACACAACCTTTTCACTTTCTGAGCCAGAATACCAAACAAAAAAAAAGCTGAGTGGAGAAATGACTAATGTGGAATTGAATGTATTGATTTTTCTCTGCTAATTGAAGCCATGGTTAATGCATTCTGGCCAGTTCACTTGGCCTCCAGTCAAAATTGTGACTGAAATCCTCTAGTAAAACAAATTAAAAAGCCATCAGATAATGACAGCAGGTTGTTGTAGTAATAACAAAGCTTTTTCATGATCATGGATTTGAGGTTTGTGTGTGTGCGCGTGTATACTGTACGTGTGCGGCAAGTTCAAATGCTAAAAGTCTAGTTGGGACATATTTATTAGAACTTTTCATTCTTTCAGACCCCTTTGTTTTATCAAACCTTTCTTTCTTTCTTTCTTTCTTTCTTTCTTTCTTTCTTTCTTTCTTTCTTTCTTTCTTTCTTATTTGCACCATCCATTTTTATCCCATTTCTAAACACGTTCCTGGCTTCTGTACACCTCATGCAGATATAATTTGAGGGACATCTGGAGGTACAAATTAACAGAGGGCTTGGGCGTATGCTGTGCTGCAATAAGCAGTGCTTGCAGCAAAACAAAGAAAACAGGGAAGTCGAGTAGCTAGGCGCCTGACTTCTTACTGTAGATTAATACTGTTCATCTGGTAACACTTCTGTGGAAGCAACTGGTACAGTATTAAAATAAATTAATAAGCTGCAGCCCACACGGTGAACAGCTGAGCATTGTTAACAGAATTAAAACTGTACTGGAGATAACCAAAGTTTTAAAATATGTATGTGCCAGACAGAATTTGGACGAATGAATGAAAATGTGTTTTTGCCATACATAAAATTCATCCCAAAAATACATTTTGGAGCCACTTATTGCACATAACTGTTAAAAAATAGGTTTTAGCGATTATGATTTTATCTTAAAAACATCTATGTATAGTGTTGAAGAAACATCAGCTGAAGCTGAACTAGGGCTATGCTGTACTTTCGTGTAATACCAGTTTGATGGTGATGGTGCAGTGAATTAATGCAACCTTTATTAAACCTGTTTAGTAAAAACGGTTCCCTATATACAATGAAGACTTACAGTAAACAAGCTTTTTGAGGAAATGGGGATAAAAGCACACATCTCTAAACAGTTCAACGCATTCACAGGCAAACCACTGCCCCCTGCTGTTGAGATCTTATTGAAAAATAAATCATGGTATCTAATTGGACATAATTACTGTTGTTACAATTTATGACTATTTCGTTTTTAAATATTATCATATATTGTCACACATTGTCACCATGAAGAAACTGTGGTCTACTGTGTAAAACATATCTTCTCAGTCAGGAGACCAGTTGTTGTGTCTCATTTGAGTGTTTCTACCTTTGTTTGGAGCCCTGCATGCTGAAAAATGACAGTTAAGTATTCTCAGTCTGTTTAAATGGGATCCAAAGAAGTTGAGACCACGTGTCCATATGGGATGAGTTCAGTGGGATGCCCATTTCACAAATCACCATGCATGCTGACAACGACTGTTTGGCGGGGCGTGGTCTGTGGCGCTGCTGCAGGGGAGGCGGACACACCTGAACGGCATCAGCTCATCACACCTCCACTACATTTAGGTATGGACTGGGTCCTGAGTGAGGTTGTTGGTGTTTGTATGGGGCTGACAGCTGAGAAGGTGCAGCTGAGTTGGAAACGACAACCGAAATAAAGAACGATGCTGAAAAGTGTTGAAATGTGCTCGGGTTTGTTGTGCGTCTGTTAAAGTGGTGCCGAAACCCAGGACGGGAGCATGGCGAGACCACACCCCACCACAGACTGCTTTGACATAGCAGCAGTAATAGACACATCAGAAATGAAAACTGCATAATTTTATAGGAACTTAGTTGTAACTAAAAATCTGGAAAATAATTACAGTTACTGATGTTTTTAATAATTTAATTCAATTTTATTTATATAGCCTTAAATCACAACAACAGTCACTTCAAAGCGCTTAATATTGTAAAGTAAAGACCTCACAATAATACAGAGAAACCCCAACAATCAGATGAACCCCTATGAGACAGCACTTTGGCGACAGTGGGAAAGGAAAACTCCCTTTTAACAGGGAGAAACCTCCAGCAGAACCAGGCTCAGGGAGGAGCAACCATCTGTTGCCACCAGTTGGAGGTTAGGGCCAGGCCAGAAGACATGCTTTGCAAGAGAGCCAGAGATTAATAATAACTCATAATTAAATGCAGAGTCGTGTATAAACACAGAGAAACAAATTATGTACTGCAAATAGCTCATTCTTGAACCCAATGGCAACCAGTAACTCAACTAAAACTGTGACTTAACATAACACACTCAGTTTTATACATCACATAGCTTTAGCATCTAGATAACATCTAAAAAATTGTAATTATAACACACACCTTGTAATTTTTCTTTCTGGGATGGGTTACTCTATTGAAATGATAACAAAAGACATGCTAAGTGTCTTGGGAGTTGTAGGCCTAACACTGAAGCTGATGAAATGAGAAAAATCTGATCCAGACAAAAAAAGTTTTATTCATGTTTAATTTCAGTCAGTACTGAAAGTACTGTTAGATAACATAATAATTGTTAATTAGCATTATGAATTGACTCAGATGTTAAGAGTCAACTTCAGTTGAAAAGCAGCCCAATGCTCTTATCCATGATTGAAGCAGTCTTACTAATAACACCTTTATAAACCTTTTCAGTGTTACTGTAATCTTTTAAAGCTTATGTACATATTAGCTCTGTGGGTGGCTTAAGTAAAGGACTTAAAGAAAATTACAGTTTACACTTACAGTTCCTTCTATTCATGAAAATATAAGTACATATTTAGAAAAAAAAAATAGTTTGAATGTTGAAATTGTACTTACTAGCCCTTTAAGCAGCACAAAACAGAAACACTATTATAATGGTGATGGAAAGTTTTTAGGTTTTAGTTAATTATAGTTATTGTTTAGAATAATGCTTCTTCAAAAAGAGTCATGGATCATACAGTAGCTAGCAATAAATCCAGTACCAAGGCCTGGTACTGGATTTCTTTGTTTGGTTATTGCTGAGCTGCCAGAAAGATAAATCAGCCCTCAGCACACAGACTCTCTACTTGGACCACCATCTCCACCATACGTAAAATGATTCTGCTGGTCCTATTTGGGAAATGGGATCCAAGTCAACAGTGAAGCCTGAGATAACAAATGCATTTTTCCCCCCTCTTCCTCTCCAGCCCTGCATTTGCAGATTACCTTTGTGCCTCTTACACTTGATAGGCACTCATGTTTCACCCATCGTTACGGCTCACACCCGCTCACAGCTCCTGGCTCTTTTTCTATTTCCCCCCACTTCAGCACCTCCTTCCTGCTCATGCTGTCCCTCTAAATTTCCTGGGGACTTTATCTTGCCCATTTCAAATAGGATTTCGACTCAATTCGCCATGCTTCATGTCACTTTGCTGGCAAATCCACAGTTGATATAGACACATCATAAAAACTGCCGCATGAGCAAAATATGATTTGTCAAAACTTTTTTTTCTTTCCCCCCCTCCTCGTGTTATTTGTCATTTCCGAGATTTGTTTCTCCTTCCCAGTGCTCTGATTCGTCATGAGAGATTGCCGCCCCGGCGCTGGGGCAGATGGGGAGTGTCGATCAAAGAGCGATGTTGCCTTCGGATTGGTGTTGAGGCGAGTAGGTGGTTTCACAGCGGCAAGTGACAGCACCTATTAATTTGGCCATTTAATTTTAAGTCCAACAGCGTCAGGCTCCACCACCTTCAATCTCCCCCTGTCATTCAAAACAAGCCTCAAGCCAACAGTCACAAACACACACGTATACACACATTCCCCAACTAGCATGGAGAACACAAAAAAGGTTTTTAATCTAAAGCTGAAACTTCTGTGAGAATCCAAGAACCCAAGAAGAAGCCTTTAAATCAATCAGGCTTTTAACCTACCACATTTTAAACTGCAGCTGCTGCATCTTGGAGATACTTAGGGACAGATGCCGGGGTGCATTTTCAAATTGGGTTCCCTCATCGTCAGCTAGAGGTCCAACAGACCCGAATATCTTGGGTAATGACTACTGATCCTCTCTCTGTGAAGCTCAGGATTGGAGGTGGAGCTTTATGACAGTATCCTCAGTGAGAAATGGACTGCAACAATGAAATGTGACACCACCGTATAAATTCATGAGTTCTCGCTCTTTCTTTCTTCCGCACCTGAACTTTTGCTCCTGCTGTGAATGCCTGCTCCCGTCACACCATCAGCTGGGGGATTTTCTTTTCTTCTGACAAGGTCAAACGTGTCTCTTATTTGATACATACTTGGAAGACCTCGCCTTCTCTGTTTCAACGTTTCCAGCTAGATTGATTGCTCCAGTGCCATATCTGTGAATGTAATGAGAGCAGCACTGTATGACTCTATTCATTCTCATTCTTTTTTAAGTTCATCTTATCCTAATTTGTGCAAGTTGTGAGATTCAATTTTTAGAATGGATTCTTATCTAAGAAAGTGTCCCTAAGGCCCCCTTATCCCTAATGGATTGTCATTCTTATGGGTTCCTAGGGCAAAAATTTGAGGGTTAAACTTCACCTTTTAAATCATGAACTTTTAATACCTTCGACATTTATTCCCTTAGCATAAAAAAATTGATCTTTTGTATAATTCATGTTGCTTAAAGCTTGTCAGAATGATCGACCGCCTCCCTTGGCACACATTAATTGCTGTCTGGCAGTCCAGCAGCTGAAGATGTGCTGGCAGTGACACAGCTTTTGAAAATACTGTGGACGGCGACCCAACAACTCCCTCTGCCACCTTTACTGTGGCAGCTGCTTCTGCACTGCCTTCATTTTTATGATGGAGGAAAGGATTTAGAGAGTGCAGCCCTCCAGAGTAGTTCCAGTCCGGGGAGAGACATGTGGCCTGATAAGTATGGCTCTTGCACAGCAGCATGAAATGAGAAACTATCCATCATAAATCATGATGGCTGCTTGACAGAATGGGATGCTCCGGCAAATGAACTTGTGAGTGTGCTTGCAGTTTTTGAATGAAAGCAAAAATTGTCATATTGATGTTTTTCTTTCCTTAGGTAGCTGAGTGGCATTTATTTACTTTAAAAAATATAGAAATAAATATTTGAAATTAAGTTGCTCTTAGCCACTAGACAGTAGTGAATTCTTGGCACAGAAAGAATCCCCCCAACACTTACACATCTGGGAAGGTTGCATTTGTGATTGCAGTTTGTAGGTCTAATTTAAAAAGAAACAGAAGCTGCTAAGTTGTCTCTGTTCTGCTTGGTTATCAGGCAATATCGTTAGGAAAGGTGTATTTTTCAGTATAACTGACTTTTTTTTAGCTTCTCTCATCCTTTTAAAATCTTCAGTGTCCCGCTCAGCTAATGTCAGCCAGTCTTTGCCCACAAACAAAATACTCTGACTGGGATTAGAACATGCAACTCTGCCCTCTGCTGCCCAGATTTAGCGCTGATCTGCTCACAGCACTGCTGCATTTAGCTCTACATCCAGCAATGGGGAGGCCCAGAAATAATCCAATTTTGTCCATATATGATTTTAGTCAGTAAGTTAATCGGATACGAGGAAATAGCAGCGAGTCTAAGTCAGACCACAATGCCAGTCTGGAAAGTTTCTTTCCTTTCTTAATTGTATTAATAATTATGCTGAGGATGTTACTCAGCCCACCTTAACATTAACTGCATCAGTGCTCTCAGGATTTCCTGCTGTTTGACATATCTTGCTTCACAGGCTTTTTTCTCTTTTCTTCTCCTTCTGCTTAATCGCATCACAGTACCTAAAAATTGAATTCCATTTCTGGGTTGTCTGCCACAGTCTGAGATGGATTTGATGGGTTGAAACACATTTTTGGGGGGGTGGGCATGAGTCTGTACTGTGCAAGTTGGAAGCTGTGGCAGTGTGTGCCTGTCTAATCTTTTTTTAGGAAGTCATCTTAATTAAAGGGTAAACTTAAACAGATGTGGGCTGTTATATGTGAGGGGTGTTTGCAATTCATGTGGCGTTAAGCTTCTCCTTGAGGACTCGAGAACTTGAGAGGTAGTTGGGCTGTGGTGAGTGGATGAGTTAGTCTGTGTTTGGCAGAAATCCCAGCATGCTGAGCTTGTTGAATACACAGAGGGAGGTGTTCTGTATCCTGTGACTACTCACAAAACCAAATTAGATGACAGATTCCGGGTCTGTTGTATAAAATGAGTCTCCTCGAGCTGGCACAGCAAAAAAGAAGTGTGTCTTAGAGGCCAGTCAGCATCGCAAAGAAACTGTTTTGACTGCCTTTAGATGTTTTCCTTCTTGAAATTTAAAGTGTGTAATCGTTTACTTTAAAAGTGGCTCTTTTCTTCATTTCAAAACATTCAAAGTTGTTTTGTTTAAACAGATACACCGATAATTAAGCAATCATTTAATTCACGTCTTATGTAAAACAAAAGAAAAAAAAAAAGGAAAAAAAAGCCAAACATTTATCAGGTACAGCATCTCAGATGTGAGTGAAGATATAAGAAAGTAATAAACAAGACAGTGAGTGTCCTTAGGATTTGGATGACTGCTGAGATGACAGCAGACAATTTGAAGTGGTCCCTTTGGGCTCCTCGAAATTATACATCATTATTCTGTTAAAACAGGAAACCAACAGGCAGACGAGTCAGTAATAGAAATAATTAGCTTGATGTGTGATTTAATGGAGCTCCAGGCTTAAAATGCAAGTTTATTCTGTCTTAAAGGCGGTGACTTGTCTCATCTCTGTGTTTGCAGCTTGCATTTTGCAAGAAAACAGTATTTTTGTTGTTTAATAGGAAAGCAAATAAGCGTCTCTTGTCACCTGTCACCTGTCACCTGAAACACAGAGGGTGTAAACTAATATGGAAGATTGGGACCGCAGGAAATCTCACTGAGTGATATCAGAGAAACCAATCTTCCCATTTTATGCTCTATGAAAACCTGTCTCCTTGAAAATATGTCATGCCTGTCTGGGTCTTCTGCGCGGTGGTCCACATGAGGGCACTCTTGCTCTCTGCAAAGCAGCTCTGTAACCCAAATGGAGGCAAAGATTAAAAACAAAACAAACAACAACAAAAAAAACCCCCAACTATTAGATTTACTAGAACCTGATCTATGTGCCAAGTCAATCACCGCAAGTTTTCACCGCAAAACCTGCACTTTAATGTGTTAAGGTTGCTTTGTGTCGTTCGCAGCTGTTTTGCACACCACCTGGTGTCTGCGAATACTTGTAAGGCAAAGCCCCATCACTCCCTGGACGTTTATCAGCCGTCACCTTCTTTTCTACCACAAGGGAGGGAAAGAGAAGCGGGATATCAACCAGCCGAGGCTGGCTTCTCCCCTTTTTTTCGGGTCCGACCGGGGTGCTCGAGTCAGCCTCCTTGTATTTGCATCAGTTCGGGATCAAGTTGGGAAAGTGTGGGAACTGCGTTGCTGCAGGATCGTTGAGACCCGACCGGCGAGCCTGAAAGTACGTGCCATGCATCCTGAACACAGAGTGATATTTTTTTTTCTTTCTTTCAACTGAACCAGAGCGTCGTGTAATCGAATCACTCCAGCCATAGCGGATCGACCTGCTCGAACTTTTTTGTATATGTGTGTCCGCGCGCGCGCATTTATTGATTGAGAGCAGAGCCAAGTTATCCCTTCTTTATTTTATGACAAGCAGTCGACATGGCGTCACTGTATCAGAGATTGACCGGCAAGATCAACACGAACAAATCCTTCCCCAACCCTCCAGAGGCGAGCCACCTCCTCGGGCAAAGTGTGGAAGGGGAGAGTGCGGCGCAGAGCCAACGAACCCGGTTTCAGCAGCACGGCCGGCGCTGCGAGGACGAGGATGTAAGAAACTTAAACTGTAGTCACCTTTACTTGTCCTAATGCATTTTCTGACCACTTTCAGATAGTTACAGTGCCCTCTAAGACACACTAAGCGAGTTGGATATTGGCGTAATATATGGAATTTTGGCGCTAGTAAATCTCCCAGTCTGTTTAATGCCCTTCTGCTTGCTCTCCCCTTTTAAAGGCAGACTTGTCAAACTTACGTCATCCCCTCAATGGTTAGCTTATCTGTCAATAAATGACGCATCACTTACGTCTCTTGAAAAGCAACGTGCGTTCTCTGGCGCCTTCTGTTAACTTTATAAACCTTACAAATGGCTTCTTAGTGCTTTGACACCTCCGTTAGAGGTTGTCGAGTGTTGCTTATTTGTCTAGGGATGCTACTGTAACCCAAGTGTGCCTTACAATTAGATTAGAACTAATGTTTAAATCGTGACTTACAACAACACCCCCGCCCCCCAATCCTCCATGCTGATTGGTTTTATTGGGATCTGCGCTAATCATTATGTGTCTCCTAGCCGTTCTTCCAACCTTCTCCAAACATGTTCGCATTTTTTTTATTGTCGTTAAAAATCTTCAGTTCTGAAACTACATTTGTTTACCTAAGCTTATTTATTTGTGGGAGTGGTTTTTACAGACTCGTTTAGGTCGTCCAGGCTCTTTAAAATCTACTTTTGACCGTTTAAAGCGCCTGTCTGAGCCTGACGTGATGCCAAACATGAAAGTGGTGCTGTCCATGGTGCTGAAACTTGATCTTCCACTCGCTGCTGCCGCTCTCCGCAGTGCTGAGGGAATAAATCCACAGAGCAGGTTTAATGGGGCCACTTAGGTTTGTTTGTCTTAAATTTATTAAAATACAAACTAACAAAAAAACAAGCACAAAAAACACTATTTTTGTATTCTCGTAAACACACTTAAAAAAAAAATCTTTGCACTTAAAATTATAAATTTAACCGTGAACTGAGGTGGACCACATCACTGTTAAACAGATACAAAACATATAGTATGAAAATTATTCACATATTTTAGAAACATAAAGAAACATTTGATATTATTTTTCTTGATTTAAAAATTTAATTGTTTTCACATGAAACAAGTAAATAAAATGAACAAACAGGGGCACAAATATACTGCAAGTGGGTCAGTTTATTTAAAAAAAATAAAGTTTTATAAAACAAATATTGCCATTTAATAAAGGAGCTGATCTACTGTCACAAAAAGATGTGGTTAAAAATGGTACTTTATTGCTAATTTTCTAAAACTTATACCCTTTTAGAATAAGAATTAAAATAAAGCAGCTGCGGTCAGGTGGCAAAAGTAAAGCTGTTAATGGAGAATCCACAATTTGTCAAAAAGCAATTTGCCAAAAATAAAAGTGAATCTATTAAAAGACAAAGAAGGACATACTTTAGTCTAGAGTTGTGGATGGTTTGAAGATCTTCAGACTTTGAAATCAAGGTTAGTCCAGATTGTAGAGTTAAATCTTATGTTTGCTTTAATGGCTGAAATCTTGACAACATTGTTTTGTTTTGATTTTTAGTTAAACTGAAAATACAAAAATGTTTTCACTTTCTTTTAGTGATACTTTCTTGCCTGATAAATTTCTAGTTATTCCCCCTGTCTAACTGTATGTCAACTGCAGGATACAACCTATACACCATCATAAGCCCAATTTGGAATATGGCTGCATCAGAGTTAGTGGTGCTATAAGATAGTTATAAAAACAGAACTTTTCTGTTTTCTTTTCTTTCAACAAATCTGTCTGGCCTGTGTACTCATCGCTCAACCCTGGTATTTGAAATGAAATTAGCTTAATCAATGTTGAGGTGGTAAAACATGCAAGGTGGTAAAATTTATTTATTTATTTTTACTCTAAGGTGAATATAAAGAAGCATGCCTTTAATCCCCATGTATTTGAGATATGGCTAACTTTGAAGATGGAGAGATTTGGTCTGTTAAACAATGAAACCAACTAAGTGCCTGTTAGGTTTTGGTATATTTAGTTTTGGAACTTTCACATTGGAATTATACATACGCATGTACAGATTGGTGACAAAGAGTATAAGTTGTGTTAGTACGGTGCTGGGTTGTGACATGCCACCAGAACAGCTTCATTGCCCCTCAGCACTGATTCTAAAAGTCTCTGAAAGTACTAGAGAGAAACTCATTTGGTGTTTTGAAGTTGCCGAATAAGTTGGTATCAATCTGCATATGATCCATGTCGTGTTCATGCTGATCAAGTCATTTAGTGACCCCCTATTTCCTGTGCATAGAGAGAGATACTGTCATCCTGGGTAAGATCACTTCACTCAGGGCAGAAATATTTATTATAGGTGATTACTCAGAATGCCCAGCTAACCTTCCCACTACAATATAGAGCCACTGGTTCCAGCTCCACTTTATGCAGGGGTCTGGATCAAGCTTTTTTTTTTTTTTTGGTGTGTTTCTATTGTTTTTCAATTTTATCCAGCTAACTGTCTTGCTGCAGACTCTAATGTTGTAGAGGTGCAGGAGGTAAAACGGTGGTTGAGCTTTGCATGAATATAACATGAGGTTGATTTATTGACTGGTGGTCATGTCTTTATGTTTGTTGGTGCAGGGAACTCGAACATGATCTGAAATCAATATAAACAGTGATGTATAGTCCATATATATCCACCTGAGAGCATGCTGTGTGATACTGCAGAAGAAAGAATTCTGAATACAGGCCTGTTCAGTGATCGTGGCAGGGGGGAAAAAGAGTGTTTTCACTGGTTCAGTTTTTAAGTGCTCCTACTATTTAAACTCATATCTAAACAGTACTCTTATATTGCTTCTGACTAGAGCACATTTTGAATGTCAGTCCAAGCTTTGGCGTCTCTCCAGCTGCGTGGCCTTAATAAGTGAGTCTGGTGGAGGTGACATTTACATCATGCTGTGTGTGGATGAGAACTAAAGCCCACTGGGATGAAGAGCTCATCCAGTGACTCGGGCTCCCCACAGCGCCACCACACAGCTCAGCCCTGCCACTTCAAAACTTTACCCAGCATTTTCTCCTCCTCTGCTGCTCCACCCTTACACTGCACTTTCTGTGTGACTCTTTTTATACTGGCTTAAATTTGAGCCCAGTACCTACGAGGGAAGCCTTGCATTGTGGAATTTGCATGTTCTTCTCATGCTTGTGTGGCTTCTTTCCTGGGTACTTTCATTTCTTCCCACAGTCCAAAGACAGACTGGCAACCTGTCCGTGCTGTACCCCACGTTTCACACTATGACAGCCAGATTATGCTCCAACATCACTGCTCATCCTGAATTGGATGTCACATAAATCCACTGGATTGAAATAAACAAGGCACTTTAAAAGTAGCATCCAATAAATCAAGTACCATATCCAGTGCAGTGTTTTAGAGTGAATATATTTTGTTGTCTTCCGCCACTATGATGAGAGAATTTTTAGCTACTATGGTATTATAATGTGAGAAGATATTTTTTTAGCCCTCGTACATGCTGCATGATAGATTATAGATAGACAGATACTGTATAAATGAGACACGCTAGATTTATGACAGAATTAGTTCATAGTTGTGGTACTACAGCCACTAATTATTACCAACAGAATTATTGAATCACAATATTATCATATTAGATTGCTTATATATACTCCTAGTTGTATAATAAGTTGCTGATCAGTGTTTGTTCTCACTATGAGGACTCCATACATAGGAATTAGTCTCCCTCACAGAGACAATGCATTTAAACAACTCATTATCGCTTTTGTTTGGCATGAGCTTGACTTACTCTCTACTGTGGGCTAAATCCTTCTCTGTCAATATATTTGATAGTGATCTTAGTCTGAAATCCCCTCTGATAACGATTGCAGGCTGGTGGAACAACTCATTACAATCTAATCAAACATGTTTGGGTTTTTTTCTCCTCGCAAAGCTTTCTCTATGCAAGCCTATGCTATCTGCAATATGCCCTCGGGATATATACGGGAGATCAGTTTTAATGTTGAAGTAACTTCAACTGTCATCTGCTAATACTCAGCAGATATCAACTATGGAAAAGCAGAAATATGAAAAGTTCAATCTTCCAGTGTTGTGTAGCCTTTCACCCTCTGTTAGTCCAGTGGAAGCCTGATTACATGCAAAGCCTTTGGGTTCCTAATTGATCCTATTTCAGCCTCATTAATTAGATATGTCCTCCAATGGCATTTAAACCTGCAAAAAGTAGAAATGGATCTTTGTGTTTTTCTATCAAAGTCTCATCCTTGTGGTGTGATTTTGTTTTTTTCCTCAGCAGGCCCCATTACACAAGTAAACACCTCGTCTTTGTTTGCCCGTGTCCACTACAATCAGCACAATCGTAATGAGACTCGAGAGAGATCTGGCGAAGATTCAGACCTCTAGCAAACCGAGACATGCGGGCGTTTTTGTGTGATATATGTGTGAGTGTTGGGAGGCACACAGTCCCACAGTTCTACTTTTTTTACCCTCTCCTAACTCATCTCACTTGTTCTGCCGTCTAATGGCTTTGCGCCTGCACTTTGCATTAAGAGGGATGAGGAGGGGGGAGAAGGGATAAATCCACAACTGCACATTAACACACACACACACACCAGTTCTCTCCCCCTTTCTTTATCTCTCTGTAAAACACACACACGCACATGCGGACAAAATGAGGATATTTTTCAGGGTATGGATTATGAGACAGCCGATCCCTGAAATGCCCTTTTAATAAGCTGGCCAATATCAGATTTCATTTTTACGATAACACGAATAATAATGATGAAAACCAGTAAAAAATGAAGCAGTAAATATACTCTGTATCAAAGAATGGGCTTTTTATATCTTTTTTTCTCACCGTGTCAGCAGATGCGCAGGTTACTTTGGAGTATAATAGTTCTCTAAATAAGTCATGGGAATCATTTTTCCCCACAGTGGGCAAACAGATTCAGTTTATTTTTTACACTACCATTCTCATAATTGTAATCTTTTCTATATTGCTTTGAATCCAGCATA